ATATTAAGTAAAAAAACACGGGTTTGAATCCGGTGGAGTTGATCCGGTGGAGTTGTTTGGTAAACTTACAAAGAATGATACTCTCTTGAACAGCACATCGTTCAAGGAGTTGTAAGTCAAGTACTTTATACATAGGTCACACAACCTCGTCAGTAATTTAACGAAAAGCGGGAGTGTTTCTCTAGCACGTTCAAAATGCAAATAGTTCTGATTTTGTGCGCGATATTTTCTGCGAGGGTTTGGCTGGAAGTCAATACTTTCAATCATCAAGGGACAAGAAGTGCGAATTTCCTTATAACGATAGCAAGCTATAGAAACTTCTAGAGGATCTTAAAAGAGTTCAAAAATTGGCATCCAAGTATAGCTATCTTGGTACTGGGTCGTACGTCCACAGCAAGTAGAAGAAAGTGAGATCTCCTACCTCATGTGCTTGGACTTCCTTTTCCCACTCGACTCGCAGTCTTTCAGCTTCAACCTGTCGCTCCATTTCCCCAAGTTTCTCCAATTTCGCCGATCGCTCATCTCTGTAGATGAGAATGGCTTAGGTAACTCAATTCCGATATGATGACTTACTTCTTGCAGATTCCATTCGCTGGCGCTTCAACTACGTCATTGATGCTCGACGAGGTACTAAAGGCTGATGAGTTTGTCATCATCTCCATACGTCTAAAGCGAAAAATTATTTTGATCCTCCTGAACAGAATCTGCCATGACTAACCTAAGTGGAGTTTCTTCAAGTTTCTTTGATGGCGAATTCACAGGTGCAGATAAATCCATGTAGGTTGGTTTCTTCATGGCGCACTCCTCAAGATCACTCTGGAAATTTACAAGTAACGCAATTAACATCCAGTTCCCTTCCCATTGTCTCTCCCCATCTCTCTTCCTTCAGAAAAGACATTTGAATACATGTATAGTAGGCGCCGCTGTATAATCACCTCACCGTAACTACACACAACGGCACTGACGTCTTATTCGGTAATGAAAACTTGTTCTTTTTGCATTTTTGAAATGTTCACGACCGAAAACTTATTTGATCGACCATATTTCCTCGAATTATCACTTAAGGTATCGTTACGTGTCGCTTTTGCGGAACATGCGCGAAGGTGAGGTAATTAAACAAATGACGCCTACTATTGTCGACTTTAAAAATTGTGACGACGGTCTGCAGTGC